CAAGTTTTGGATAATTCCATTATTATAATAATTGTTTAGGTCAAAAACTTTTCGTAATTCTGTACTATAATTCGTGATATTTTGTGTAATATTTTCAGAAAGCGGCTATTTTGCGATTTAAATCGTAAGTGAAACGGCCCACTCTTGTTTAGTCCTCTTTTTTTCTGGCGAAAATCGTATAAGCCTTGACTATTTCTCCAGTGCATAGGCATTTTATCAAAATGTAGCAGCTGCAGACGATATTTCTAGCGGAACTGTAAGAATAACTTCCATTGTTATAGTTCACACAATTCCATGCGGACGAAACAATTTGCTGAACTAGAAAAAAGTTCGTTTTGCTTCGCTAAGGATAATGTCTTTTCCGGCTTTAAAAATGTCGCATACATATATACGAAAGGTAGTGTTGCGCTGCGAAGCTTACGAAAAGGGGTTAATGTTTTCTTGTGTACGATGCACAGAATACGAAATAATTAAACATCAGATGTAGACGTAGGAGAATATTGTTACGATTGTGGAAGCCACTAAATGTTAAAACTGGAATGATTTTAAAAAAGGCCGTAATTCCAAGACAGGTTGTCTGTCAAGCTAGCACAACTACACCATAAACTCGAAAAACTATTCACATGACAATCTGACTGGGATGAATCTGAATCTGATTCAATGATTTTTAAGTTTCTGGAAGAACTATTACCAACATGCGTAATTACATCCGATATGTTGTAAAATTATGCATTCTTCCGTAGAGCATCCGACTGCCACATCCATGCCGAAAGGTGCTTCATCATCATAAGGTCGTTAGTCCTAAGACTGGTTGGACACGCACCTCCATTCCTTCCTATCCTGAGCTAATATTCGCATTTCCCTAAAACCAGAACATCTAAGTCTACTTCTACTCCTTTTAACTCCTATTTTTGCCTCTAATATGTGTCTTACTAGACCTTCACGCCTGAGAAGGTGTCCTACCAACCCATTTCGCCTATTTTTTGTTGATTTCCATAGAGTCCTCTGTGCTTCTATTCTTTCTAATACCTTCATTTCGAACCTACTCTATTCACGGTATCTTCATCATTCGTCTGCAACACCACATTTGGAACGCTTCTAACCGTTTCATTTTCGCCGCACCCACCATCCATGTTTCGCTCCCGTACAGCGCCGCCCTCCAAATATACACCTTTATTAATTTTTTTGAATTTCTAAAGGTGCTTAAAATAAATCAATACCTATGTTTGAAAAGTATTGCTGGGTTAGTAAGATTTCTTGCTAGTACTAAATTCACTGCAATTTTCTGGATGTCACCAAATTGTTTTTCGGTGTATCAAGGAGGTTTAAGTGATATACGCCAGAAGATACTATTACGTTCCCGGATGGAGTATTCTCCTACCACTTTAGTTTTTGGCACAGGAATAGGGCGAAAATTACACTTTTCTTGTATTTTATGTGTAAACCAGCTGCCCCGATAGATTTCGTTCTGTCGCAGTCCAATAGAAAAAACTACTAAATAGAACTATTACAGTAATACTTTTTTCTTTAATAACACCCAAACGCTTTTTTTTATTCAAAGTTTATTTTGGGAAGACAGAGAGTTATATCCATACAGCCTAATCAACTTGAAGACATACCAAGGATAATCCTAACACACCTTAGTTTTGTTTTGATTGACGTCAAATGTTTGACAGGTTCATAAGAACCTTCCTCGGACTTCAAGGAATATTTAAAAAAGCATTATCGAAATTGGTTCAGCCGTTCTCGAGTGTTGCGCATAGCAACACTTTTAGCGATTCATTTTTATTTTTATAGATTAGCAAACCCATATAAAGTTACTCGTGGATCTCCAGATCTTATTTTTAATTCACTTGAGATAGTAATCCACCACTAATGCTTCAAACAACGTAAATTAGTAGTTGCTAAGATGGAATACAAAGCAGGAAAATTTGCTTTTTTAAAATTGTATTTAGCGCGAGAGTTTTTGAAAACGTTTGATACGCACTCGTCAATGCAATTTTAATATCAAGAGCTAGATGAGGTTCATCTTCATTCAAAAGACAAAACTGAGACCTTTTAACAGATAGCTTGGATCTCGAAAGAACCAGGTCTAAAATTCTACCGTTATTCAAAGTAAAAAAAGGAGACTGTGGTAAATAATAATTAATTAAAAGGAAGACTATTTCCTTTGTTATCCATTATTTCTTCTTTCGATCTTCAACCCCCGCCACTATAAATAGTTAGAATTTTAAATTTTAGAACCAGTCTCGCGTTGATAATGCCCCCGTATAAAGTGGGCAAAACACGTGTCCGCTCAAAAAGTTTTTGTAACATTTATCAGTAAACTCTGTACTGTCAAGACAGGAATTTTAAAATTTCCAAATATCATTAATTAATAATTGCTATGCAGTTCTACACAATTACTAATGCTTTCAAATAACGATTCATAGGTGGCTGCATTCACGCTTGGTGGTATATATAAAACAATAGCATGGACGACTTTTCTAGGGAAAGAAATTTTGCTACCCAGGATTTCTCTACAAGGGTGAGTACTCTCAATATCACTAAGATTAAATGGATATCCCAAATACTTAAATGTTACTTAGCGCAAAAAAAAAACAAACAAAAGAATTAAAATAAGATCTTAAGATCCATGAGTGCCTTCAATTGGATTTACTAATAGAATATAATCATGAAATAATAATTCTAAATTTACATTAAGCGTACTATATCTATGTCGCCGTAAAATTGTAGTTGGGTTATAATCTGTCTCGCGAGATTGTAAACTCTTGAAAGATTGTGAGCTGTTAGTTAGTTAGTTAGACTTTTTGATTCTAGTTTACATTTGGAATCTTGAAACCACTACAAATAATGGCAGAATCGTTTGCAAAATTTTCTAGGATCTTTAATCGAAAAGTGAAATTTCTGACCGATTTGCTGACTGAAGAGTACACAAACGTATAGTTTCACTAAAACTATTAAAAATGCACACCACTCTGGATAATATACACCATAAAATTATTGTCATTGCCAAAAACTCAAAAAAAAACAAGGATTATTGTATAAATAAATATTTCCACGCTCAAATGCCAACTATAATTATCTTATTCAGAGAAAAGCGATATCGGCACCTTTGAAAATAATAAAAAAATTAAATATTGATAACATGATGATACAAGATTCGATTAATTAGTCGCTTACTGAACAATGGTTTTTACACAATGGGTACTCCGAGATACCTAGGGAATAGTTCTGATTTTGGACATTGTGGAAATTATTCAGCAGCTGGTTGAAAATACCAAAGGAAAGTTGGAAGAAAAAAATGAGTTATAATAAAAAATTATATTATATAAATGAGTATTTCCACGCGCAAATGCCAAATATACTTATCATTGATTCAGAGAAAAGCGATATCGGCACCTTTCAAAATAGTAAAAAATTTAGATACTATTAACATGATAATACAAGACGACTTAATTAGTCGCTTACTGAACAATGTTCTTTACACAACGGTTACTCCAAGGTACCTAGTGAATAATTTTTAAGCTGAAAATAGGGGCCTCAAGACCATCCAGAGAATTGAATTTTAAATTATACGAAATGACCGATTGTCAACATTTAGGGATCGAGATTGGAGACTGGACTTTTAAAATAAACAAAAAGGGCATCGTCCAATTTCTAGAGGCCCGTGACTTTATTATCATCAAGAATAACAAACCTCTCACTTTTGCCTTCCGTCAAAACCCTAACAACAGCTCCGCGAGACAGTCACGTCATTTGAATTTCATCAGCCAATTTTCAACAAATACACAACACATTTCGGGTAAAGACAACATTGTAACAGACACTCTTTCAAGCATTTCAGAAGTATCAAGTCCCATCGATTACGAAATCTTTGCAACTCAACAAGAGCCCGATGAAGAACTTCAAATATATCTTAGTTCTAACACGTCTCTAGTGTTAAAATGTATCCACACATCAGGTACCAACAAAGCTATCTTCTGTGACATCTCAACAGGAACAGTTAGACCATTCTTGACCCCATCGTTTCGCTTCGTCATTTTCAACCACTTACGTTCCTTAACCCACCCTGGTATTCATGCATCTATCAAACCAATTATACAATTTTCATGTGGTCATCAGCAAACAGGGATCGCGTCAAATTAACACGCGCAAGCATTCCGTGTCAAAAAGCAAAAATTTCCCCGCACGTTTCTGCCCCTCTGAAAATCATCAACATGCCTTCAGGCAGATTCGAACACATACACATAGGTATGGTCGTAATGCCCTACTTTGAAGGATACCGTTACTGTTTCACATGCGTAGATCGATTCACACGTTGGTCTGAACAAGCAATTTCCATCAAATATCAAGAAGCTGAAACCGCAGCACGTACTTTCTATGAAGGGTGGATCTGTCGATTTGGTGCACCATCACGGATTACTACCGACCAAAAAAGACACTTCGAATCTCAACTCTTCAACGAACTATGACATCTAACGAACACCAAACACATCCGTCCGTATCACAGCATACCACCCTGCAGCAAATGGAATGGTTGAACGATTTCATCGCCAGTTGAAGACTGCAATAACATGTCATCAAAATGACAGCTGTACCCAAATTCTTCCCATTGTACTATTAGGCATCCGAGCAGCCTGGATGGAAGATCTGAAAGCAACAACCGCTGACATGGTATATGGAAAGTCACTACGTCTACCTGGAGAATTCCTATCTCCACCAAGCTCACAAACCAATAACAGCCCGGAACACGACGTGGGGAATAGAAGACATTCATCTACAATCCCTCCAAATAACAGAGTACGTCCTAATTCGACACGACGGTCCTAAAAAACCAGCTGTTCACCGTTCAATTACCCAACAAAGAAAAAAAGTATCTATTCACCGACTTAAACCAGCATACATCATGTCAGAAAGACTACACCCACAAACCTCTCCTGCGCCTGCAGCCTCCAACAACGACACCGCAGAATCAACAAGAGTAAATCCTTCACAGTAGGATGACCAATATCGCTAATCGAATCGCTAGGGAAGGGGTCCTGTGGGAACACTCTGTAAAGTATTCACTTCGTAGACTCAGCATTTCTATCGTCACTGTCGATCGACCAAACTGGGTCAACCATTGAACTCGGACCAATCTGCTGGACAAACACTTTACATTTAAACCATGTAAATAGTTTTGAATAATTACCATGTAAATAATTAAATAAATCAGTCTTGCAAACAGACCCGCCTTCGCCTGACTATTGAACTTGCAGATAGCGATAGGCACATCAACGTGCAGTTCAAAACTTGCAAATAGACTGGAGTCTGCATCTTTATTTGTCAGCGTCACACACGTTACAAAAGGTAGAAACATTTTTAAATGACTGCGAAATACAAATATACCAAAATGGCATTACAATTTAAAGATTCCTTTTTACTTTAGAACAAACAAAATAGCTAAAAACCCCAACGCCAAAACACGACACTTTAGTTGTCCGAAGCACTTTACATTAACAAGGTTACCATCTTCAGGGATTGAAGTGAACTAAATCTAAAAGAGAACTAATACTAATTTATACTAATAGTTGTAAATAATTGTAAAAATAAACAAAATTTACTTAACAATGACAACGGTCCTATCCCTGGATCTTATTGTTGTCAAACTCCATTGAACATCAACCTTATTGTCACTGAGCCAAGTTCACTGAACCTTAACAACTATTACTATAAATTACGATTAGTTCACTTCAGTCCCTGAAGAAGGTAACCTTGTTACCGAAAAGTGCTTCGGACAACTAAAGTGTCGTGTTTTGGTGTTGGGGTTTGAGCTATTTTGTTTGTTCTTCAACAATCGCCAAAGTTTTTCCAATCTTCATATTTCCTTTTTACTTTAGCAATATTCCTAAATAGAGTAAAATATCTATTATTTATTGTAGTTAAAAACTAGAAAGCGCTATGGAAATAAAAATACTTTAAACTGCATCTCAAATTTATTAGATTCATTGCTATGTCAAATGAGAGGGAAGATGGTTTTGAAAATAATTCTGCTTTAGCTTTTATTTCTCAACAACTAAAATTTCATACATCAAGCGAATCTAGATATAGTCATCCAAATAATACAATGATTTTAGCCTCCCTCCTTCAGACAATTGGTCCACATGCTAATAAATAGTGACACTTTTTAGTGTATCCACTTATTTTACCCCATCTAGATACAGTGAAATCTATTTGCAGTTCTTTGCTGACTGACCCTATAATGGAATAAATGAACATGTATTTTTGTAATTTAAATTAATTTTAAAAAAGCAATTATGCCGATATTACAGACACACGCTTCAACATTATTTATATACAGGGTGGCCCAAAAATACGCAGTACGCTCATTACTACTTTCAAACTGTAAGTTTAATCGAAAAAACTTTCAAAACAAGACTTGTTCCCTATTTTAATACAAGATCGAATGTAGCATTTAAATTTGGTTTACTATATAGAGTGTTCTGAAATAGAAAAAACAAGGTTCATTTAAATGGCAGTCATAGAGCCATATTTCAAAGGACTTTTACCTTTCCCTCTACCGACTTGAGTACATAACAATAAATTTACATTAGTCCCTTGTTTGCTGTTACATCCACAATCCACTATACAGAGTGTTCGAAACTAGAAAAACAAGGTTTTGTTAAAATTGCAGCCCTGTGAAATATGGCTCTATGACTGTAATGTAATTTCGTCATTATATCTGGAAGTAATTAGAGGCAAAGGTAAAGAGATGCAAACACGTATATATAATTTTCACCATTTTTAAATTTTGAAACAATTTCCGCCTTTTTTTAACAGTAAATATGCATTTAGGAGTCATACTTATTCAAAAGTTTACTAAACACAGTTCCTACTCAGAATAAACGCTTAATAAACAAACGTAAAGGTTAAAACAGAGCCGGGCAAACTCGGCTCTTTTGACTCCCAAGTGCTCCTCAAGGTTAACCAAGTAGCTCCTCATTGATCCTGTGAGTGCGAGTGAGATTATTCTTTCTTTTTCTTATCCCTTCCATTTCGTAGGTGAGTCCCCTCTTCCACGTAGTAACGAAAATTTTCGTAGGTATTTTTTAAGTTGCGAGAGTGGCTTCGCTCGTCTACGGGATGAAGGGGCTTGATATGGGAGTGGAAGGGAGAAGAAAAAGACAAAACAAAATTATTCAGTACTGCTTACTCCCTCGTACTCATTGAAGGGTATGGAGTGACTCAAACTAACCTCATGTAGCGGCTCCTGCAAAATTAAAGTTTGCCCGGCTCTGGGTTAAAAAACTTGCTGACCATATGTGTGGATTTAAACAAAAGATGAAGAAGCCTTTTCTGTTGAAGTGTATCATTCAGTTTGTCCAGCTGATGGCAGTAGACTTCCGAATTAATCGTTGTGTTATCCGGTAAAAGCTCAAAAAAAACGATTCCTTTAAAATCCCACCAAACAGACAGCATCACCTTTTTTGGGGGAATACCGGCTTTGGAAATGGTTTGAGCCGGTTCATCTTTTTTGCTCCATGACCTCTTGCGTTTGACGTTGTTGTATACAACCCATTTTTCGTCCCCAGTGATGATGCGCTTCAAAAACGGATCATTTTCGTGACGTTTGAGAAGCGAATCGCAGACGTCAATGCGGCGACACAGATTTCTCTCTGTGAGAACATGGGGAACCCATACATCGAGCTTCGAGGATAATCCCAGGCCTTTCAAGTGGTCATAAACTGTTGAATTTGATAAATTTAACCTCAATCCGATCTCACGTGTTGTTATTCGCCGGTTCACATCAACTAATGCCTTTATCGCGTCTTTATCAGCTTCAACCGGCCTTCCCGAACGTGGTGCATCTTCGACATCAAAATTGCCGGATCGAAATTTAGCGAACCAGTTCTGGCACTGGCGTACTGTCAACACACCTTCTCCATACACATCAGTCAATTTCTTTCTGGCTTGAACAGCATTTTTACCCTTTCTGTAGTAAAACAGTAAGATATGTCGAAAATGCTGCTTATCGCTCTCCATATTTAAAAGGGCACCAACCAAAAACTACTGCGTAGAATTAATTGGAATTTTTCACACACAAGCCTTGCTATATGAGCTCTCAAAGCATATAAAAATTATACGGCTTAAATGTGAAGTTGGGTGCAAAAGAATACAATTAAATCCTCTGTCGGGAAAAAACGAAATGACTTTCCGAACAACCCGATATTAAAATATGCTTTAAATTCGGGGACTTACATTTAACGCCGCTCTAGCAAAATAATCACCAAGGTCGTAATAAATAAATTCACTGTATATTAAATCATATTTGGATGCTTGTATTAAAATAGGGAGCATGTTTTGTTTCAATTAAACTACAGTTTGGCCGCAATGAACATATTGAATAACTTTTTGTGCCACTCTGTATGTATAGATTGAATAACAAAAGTAGTAACGCACAATTTATACAGATTTCTATTATAAAAAAAATTACTGTGTGAATTTATTTATCGCAACTTGAAGAACGGAAGATAACGCCGATTATCCGATCAAAAGAAAATATAAATACGGGAGTAGACCCAGGTGGGTTAGTTAATTTAATTAGCTATCAACTTAATTTATATATACGCATGTAACGATTATTTTACTTTGAAAATTACAAGTTGAAAGCAATAAAAATGTCTAACCAACTTTTAACGATTATTTTTCTTGCATTAATTTCATTTTGTCATTCGCAATACATCTCGCGAGGCCAATATAGTGATCGAGACAGAATGAATGTAAACACAGTTGACAATTTCAGCTTCGAGAGAGTAAGTTAACCGTATTTCAAAATTAAAAACATAACATTTGCCTGCTTCAATAACTTTTTTTCATAGTTATCAGGAAATGAAGCGGTATGGTACCCCGTAATATCATACGCCAACAACGGCGACTGCCAGAGGGTATATTTTACCGTGTGGAGTGCTTTACCCTTATCCACGGAAATGGATCACCTATGGAAAAATGTAAGCTCCGGTGTGTGGCATAGAAGGCAAGGTCGAGTAATATGGGATGAGTCTTATTATCCTTATGGACTAGCAGTACTGAGGGTGGAATACCCCGATGCCGCGGATGTAATGGTATATAGAGTTATTGGATTAGAGGATGATGAATTCGCCATTTTTTACAGATGCGTTAATGTAAATAGAAGAAACAGACAGGGTAAGAATAATCATATCTATGTAAATGTACATGCAGTTCCTTTATAAATGACCGAGAAACACATGAGTTCGATGTATGCAACCAACAATACAAGATGCACAAAATCAATTCAAATATCCCTAGACGATTTATGAAAATCATTAGAGAAAGTTGCAGGCAGTAGGTATTTTATGAAATGTCAAAATAACTAAAATGTTTAGTAGTATCATATAAAACAGGAATAAATCAAAACGAATAAGAGAGACAGATAGACCGAGTTATTTAATATATTTAGTTAATAGAATAGGTAGTTAGTGTTAATCCGATACTATCGAAAGTCACAAGGAAAACGAAGCAAGGACAAAATTGGACGATTTCAGAGATAATATCTACTAATAACTTTTGGCACATTCTTTGAAATTTACTCTTTTTAGTGTGACGAATACTTTTTTAAATCAGAGGCAGTTCTCATTATTTCTATCCTCCATAGTAGTAAACTAGTAACCAGATTCAAAGCGTAAATCTCAAATCAACTAGTAGGTACACTATCGGTTACTAAAAATGAGGTTACGTGGCTCTCGATCATTTACGAAAGCACTATATATGTTACTTTGAAAGCTGTAAATCTGAGGATGTATCTACATGAGTTGGCAATGTAAGGACTGATTTGATAAAGAAATGAAACTATTTTTCGATCGTTTACCGTCATAGGTTGGTGCATGCTAGATTGTGCTAATGACAACAATTAGTAACTGCTATTATATACACTCGAATATATGCGTTAGGGTATATGCAACCAAATATATACCAGAATTCAGACCCACCCAATTTTTTCAATTGTTTATTTCTACCTCAAAAAGGTACGTAGAAATTGCTAACTTGTAGTTAAGAATTCTGGTTTAGCGATAACATCCAGGATATCGAAAATAGGCTTTCATCGTCACTTAGTTGTACAATATTGTACTATCGGATATACCAACGCAAACCGGTGTTTTTGGCGTTTTCCCGTCACAAACATTGTTTAAACCGCTTAAAGCCGAATGAAATTTTATAAAATATTTGTACTTTTAATTTTTAATAGAACGCCTTTTCGCCATTTCACGTATCTTAAAGTTAACATACCTATAGCTCAAAGAACTTTTTGTATAGAGTGATGCTTTTCTAGATCATAAGGGATAGGAGATATCAAGCCAAAAATGTCACGAACTTGTACTCTTTTAGACTGGACGGCCAGTGACCAAACACTCCTATCTACGCGTACAAGTCAATGGACATGTACAGTATTAAAACTCATCAGTGTACTCACCGCTCGCCCATCAGTTACTTTTGCCTAAAAATCTCCTCATAATAGATACCAGATTTTTTTTCTGTTTATCTTACCTTATTTTATTTTTTACCTGACGTATGTAGGGTCGTGTCGCCTTTAATAAAAAGAAGTCACTTCTATGCTCGCGAACCGTTAATTTAGAAACATGCACAGTGGGAGCGGCGGAAAAGAAAAGGTTAGAAGCGTTCGAAATGTGGTGTTATAGGCGGATGATGAGGATATCGTGGGTAGAAAANAAGAAACAGACAGGGTAAGAATAATCAT